TGGACCTGTCAACATGATGCGCCTGCGCCACGCTCTGAAAACCACGACCCAGTACCACGAGTGCCTACGGATGAGCTTTTATCAGCGCGTTGGCGACGGCAGACCAGTACAGGGCCTCATGGCATCGTCTCTGTTCGAGCTGGACCACGTTGCTGAAGCTAGCGACCTTGACTTCAAGCAGGTCATGGACAAGTTCAAGACTCGTGTCTGGGATGTTGAGACGGGCAGGACGATGGGCATGACGGTTCTCAGTCGTAGCAGGGATGAGCATGACTTTGTGTTCGGTTATCACCACATCATCACCGATGTTGCTGGCTGGTCTCTGTTTCTTCGGGACCTGGATCGCGCTTATCGACTGGAGCGTCTGGGGTCGGACATCTCCCATCTCGAGTACACCGAGAAACAGTGGGAAGACGAATCGGCGGGATGCTATGCTGATCGATTGAAGTTTTGGCGCGAGGAGCTGGCCACGTTGCCAGAGGCCTTGCCGCTTCTGCCTTCTGCATCAGTTCGGTCTCGGCCGTCTCGCCAGGAAGAGGCCCTGGATTCCAAGATCCAAAGCGTCTACCGCGAAATCCCCCCGGCGCTTGTCTCTGCGGTCAAAGAGACTTGCAAGTCTCTTCGGATCAGCTCCTTCCATTTCTATCTTTCAGTCTACCAGGTCTTCCTTGCTCGACAAGCCAACATCCAGGATGTGTGCGTTGGAGTTGTAGATGCGAACCGTGACGCATCCTCTGATGAGGCTGTCACTCGCATGGTCGGTTGCTTCGTCAATGTTCTCCCCGTTCGGACAAATATCGTTCCCACCCAAACATTTTCTGCTGTTGCCCAGGCCGCCTCTCGGAAGGCTCTCTCAGCTTTCGCCCATGCTGGTGTCCCATTCGATGTTCTCCTGGACGCGTTGGACACTCCTCGCTGGGCAGACGGCGACACACCACCCCTCTTCCAGGCCGCAATTAATTACCGCGCTGCGAGTGGTGGCTGGGGTGAGATGGCTCTTGGTCGTGATTGCAAGATGACGTTAAGTCTGGAGGATGGCAAGGATGTGCAGCCGCCTTACGACATCAGTCTTGGAATCATGGACTTGGAAAAGGCGTGCACCATTGACTTGCATTGTCAAGGCAAGCTTTACAGCGAAGAGGCCACACGAGGAAGTAAGTGTATCAATTTTCCCCTCGTTCCAGGAAGCCATCACACTAACCTCTCACTGCAGTGGCCGATTCGTACATCCGACTTCTTCAAGCGTTTGCGGCGAACTCAGATCTTTCCATTGAGAAGGCTCCGATCTATGATGATTCTTGTGTTACAGAAGCTCTTGAACTTGGAAAGGGTCCCGTATTGGACTTTGGCTGGCCATCAACTCTCTCCCAGCGGTTCAAAGACATGTCCCAGCTTCATCCCAATGAGCCGGCCATCATCTGCGGTCGCTCCACCCTCTCCTACAGCGAACTTGCTGGACGTGTCGACGCAGTAGTCAAAGCACTTAGCCTCGCTGAATGTGCGCCCGGCGACTACGTCGCTGTTCTTTGCGAGCCTTCGGTCGATATGACTGTTGCGATGCTTGCTGTCCTCCAGAGCGGCTGTGTCTACGTTCCTTTGGATACCAGCTTGCCAATCGCGCGTCACGCAGCCATGATCCGCACTTGCGAACCCACTATGATAATCTTCCACCCTGCCACGGAACAGCATCTCCTTGACTTGGGAGACGAATCCAGTGCGTCTTTCAAGCAGATCAGCCTTGACGATGTCCCCCCGTCTGCCAATGCCGAGACAGATGCACCCGTAGCGTCCGACGCAGATGCCCCCGCTGTTCTCCTTTTCACATCTGGCTCAACTGGCACGCCCAAGGGCATTGTGCTCACTCAAGGCAACTTCGTCAACCACCTGGCGCTGAAGAGCCATGTCTTGTCCCTCGGCCGAGAGCGTGCCCTTCAGCACAGCTCTCTCGGCTTCGACATGTCCCTCATCCAGACTTTCTGCTCGCTGGCCAACGGCGGAGCTCTTGTCGTCGCACCTCGCGACATGCGGCGTGATCCGGTGGCGTTGACGACTCTGATGGTTGACCACGGTGTCTCTTTGACAATCGCTACTCCCTCGGAGTACCTCGCCTGGTGCAAGTACGGATCATCTTCCCTACGCAGTCACAAGGCATGGAAGCATGCCTGCATGGGTGGAGAGATCGTCACAGCACAGTTGAAAAGAGAGCTCCAGCTTTTGGGGTTGGAGGGTTTGACGGTGACGAACTGTTACGGGCCGACTGAGATCACCGCCGCTGCAACTTTCCAGACAGTCGCTATCAAGAATCTGTCCGAGGCCCAACCTGGCCAACCAGCGGAGTCTGTAGAACAGCGGCTGAGAACGCAATTTGCTGTGGGCAAGGCATTGCCAAACTACACGATCCGTATCCTCAATGGCATGGGTCACCCACAGCCAATTCACCACACTGGCGAGATTTGCATTGGCGGTAAGGGAGTTTCTGTTCGGGGCTATCTAGGTCTTCCCGACGAGACTCAGAAGAAGTTCATCTCAGACTCAGACACTGGTGAGGTTCTCTACCGAACTGGAGATTCTGGCCGACTTCTCTCTGACGGTACTCTTCTCTGTGTCGGTCGCCTCGAGGGAGACACTCAAATCAAGCTGCGCGGCTTGCGCCTTGAGCTGGAGGAGGTGGAGACCGCACTTCTCCAAGCGTCCGAGGGCTTGCTTTCCAGCGTCGTCGTCTCCCGTCGCGGAGACATCTTGGTAGCCCACGCGACTGTCTCTCCAAATCTCTACATCGACACGGCCTTGACTGACTCGGAAATCAATACCATACTTCGTCGTCTGCACGGCCGCTTGCCGCAGTATTTCATCCCGGCTGCCATAATAACCATGGCTGATCTCCCTACCAACCCCAACGGTAAACTCGATCGCAAGGCCGTTGCCAGACTTCCTCTTCCCGAGACCGATCCCACTCAAGCCGAGTCCGTAAATGAGAAGGAGGAAGATGCTAGCATGAACCTCCGCGAAGGCGAACTTCGTCTTCTCTGGGAGAAGGTCCTTCCATCTGCTGCTTCTTCGACCATGGGACGCATCGTACCGTCGTCGGACTTCTTTCTTCGCGGTGGCAATTCCCTGCTCTTGATGAGGCTGCAAGCCTTGATTCGGGAGTCTATGGGTGTGCACGTCATGACAAGAGCATTGTACAGCGCCAGCACGCTCAAAACCATGGCCGAAGCTGTCTTTGCCCAGCGAGACGCGGACATTGCTGAAGAGGTGAACGACGACATTGACTGGCAAAGGGAAGCTGAAATTCCTCACTGGCTCAAAGAGAGGGTCCATGGGATGTCCAAGGAGAGTGGGAAATCCCAGCCCGCAAAGTTCAAAGGTCTCAATGTCGTCCTCACCGGCGCGGATGGTTTCCTCGGCGGTCGTGTGCTTCAAACCCTCTTGCAAACGCCCGCAGTCCAGACCGTGAACTGCATCGCTCTCGAAGACGAACAAGAGGGCAGTCACGGCGATATCCATAAGACCATCGAAGCCAACCCAAGTAAGACGGTCAACACTTTCGGTGGGAGTCTTGCAGACCCAAAGCTCGGCCTCACCCCTTCCGAGGCATCTTGCCTCAGGGATACAGCTGATATCATCATCCATGCCGGCTCCAGTGGACACTGTCTGAACAACTACGCTGCCCTCAAGGCCCCGAATGTCTCTGCTACGCATCGTCTCGCCGCGCTGGCACTCCCTCGCTCTGTGCCATTGCTCTTCGTCTCTAGCAACCGAGTCCCGTTACTCGCCGGCAACACAGAGCAGGTGCCCTGTTCCATGGCAGAGTGGATGCCCGCTGGCGATGGAAGAGAGGGACTTACCGCGACCAAATGGGTTGGCGAAGTCTTTCTGGAGAGTCTGAACAAGGTTGTCACCAGCCAGACTGAGAAGGCCTGGGCTGTCGAGGTCCATCGCCCTTGCATCGTCGTCGGCGACCAGGCGCCCAACTCCGACAGCATGAACGCTATATTGCGATACTCGCTGCAAATGAAGTGTGCGCCTCTCGTGACCAGGGGTCGGGGATACATTGACTTCAAATCTGTAGATGACGTTGCCATGGGTATTGTTGAGTCAGCCCTGATTATGGCTCAACGCGGGACTGGAGGCGTGTCATTCAAGCATCACTCCAGCGGAGTCAAAGTACCTGTTGACAAGTTCAGAGAGCATTTGGAGCAGGAGTATGAGGGGAAATTCGAGTCTGTTGAGATGAAGGATTGGGTTGCTAAGGCTGGTAAGGCTGGGATTGATCCTTTGATCACGGCTTACTTGAACGGAATCTTGGAGTCGGATGAGGAGATGGTGTTTCCTTACCTAGGAGCTTGAGAGCTTCTTGTCTGAAATTGATGTTTTACTCTATTTATTCTGTCGCCAGGCACTTAATATTTGCTTTGTTTCGAATGTTTCCTTTTTACTGATTAAGATTCTGCAATCGCAGATCATACTAAGGCTACTAAGCAGCCACTGCCCCCTCTTCTTCTCAACCTTACTATCTCTATTAATCTAAGGACCTACTTGTTCTAATATAGCTACCTCTTATATTAGTATTCAAGCTATTAGTGTTGGACAACCCGGTTTATCATGCAACTATAGAAGTGAAACCATCAGAAAGAGATAACGAGACTTATACGGCTAGCCTAAGTAGGAAAAAAATAAGAGGCGCCTCGATTTCAAGAATAAGACTCAATATGTCGGTCAGAACGGTGGTGAGACTAATATGATAAGGCTCCAGCATCGATCCCAACCTAGGCGGCGGCCTGAGTGGATCTTGAATCGTCAATATCCGCCTCCGACTCTGCCGGGTTGCCAGATCTAGTTAACGGTTCTCAGCTGTAGCATTTTCCTGGGTCACCAGCATCTATGATGAGAAAACAAATCTTTTAGAATAAAAGCCGCGGGAAAATGACAATTCAATGGAACAAATCAAGTCAAAACTCCAATACATCCAAACCCGGAAGATCACCTCCAAACCTCCCTCAGGGCGTCCCATCATTCGGATTGGGGAATCTGCTCACAAACTTGGGCGTCTCAGGCGACTCCAGCCCATTGCCCTTCGGATCACGATATTCTCCCGCATGGTTATTCGTAAACAGTGAATGCCTGCGCTCCTCCATCATCTCCGCCTCGCGCACCAAGTCCCCAGTCAGCGTGCCCGTAAGCGCATACGGCGCAGCGAACAAGTTGACCGACACGGGGTGCGATGGTGCGAGCGTGCTGGAGCCGGTATGCTCGATGCCGGCCATGGGCGCGAAGCCTGCGGTTTTGATGGCAAATATGTCCGTGGTGGGCAGCTTGGGGGTATGGGAGTCAATGGTCGAAACACCGAAAACTGCCGGCTTTCCTTGCGCCTGGTGGTTGTCGGAGATTGTGCTGGGATGATTTTGCGGCATCACACTTGCGCGTCTCCTCCCGGACTGTGCCTTCTTCGAGTCGTGTATCGTGAAGCCAGACTTTCTCGCAGCTGCAGCCGTCGAAGCCTTGACCAGCATCGGTTTCTCAAGACTAGGCGGGTTGTACTTCACCCTCTTGATCGGCCTCTCGCCCACGTCAGGCACCTTAGAGTCCAGCGCCTCGTCCGAGGCCTCGTGCAGAACACCGCCAAAGATGTCCTTGATCCTGCTCACCGCACCGCGCAGCATGTAATCGACGTCCCGCTTCAAACTATCCGCATTGATGGTGTTGATCGCCTCTTTCGTGTGGCTGGTCGCATTCTGAATCGTGCACACATAGTTCTGCACCGCCTCAAACTCCTTCGCCGGCAACAGCTCAATCTCCCTCCGCGCAAAGGTGAATAACCGCGCCGAAGACGGACGGTGCGCAATATGGATGTTGGGAATGAGCGGGAGCAGGAGGGCCCAGTTCTCCAGCTTGATCCGCGTGATCTCCCCAGACCACCCGAACAAGTACTTGGTCGTCTCGAATCCCCGTTCGAACATGGGCCTGAACTCCTCCGCGATACCCGGGTACATTCGCGTGGCTTGCGGCTGGTTGACCAGGGTGATGATCTCCTCGTGAAGACCGGCCAGTGTTTGGGCTCGAGCTTTCAGAGTCCGTATCACCGGCTGTACCGTGAACCTGATCCGATCCTCGTCGCCGAGGTTGAAGATGTCCAGGTACAAGCCCATGATTGTGTGGATTTCGTACTGAAGCTCTCCGTAATACGTCCGTAAAAGCTCGGCGAGTCTCCGGCCGGCCCCCTGCGCCACGGTGCCGATGTTGTCCCAGAATGTGTCTGCGTTGACGAGATTCAGTGACGGCGCCGGCAATTTCAGCTTGCGACCTTGCATGCTTTTGGTGAACCGGGCCAACAAGTTCTGGTACCCCAACAGCGCCTCGTCCTTCCATTTCTGGAGCTCCTGATGCGTCATATTCACGAGGTTCCGTCGGTAAGTCGCCCCGATCACAGCCTCGATAACAATGATGGTAGCCTGCGCGCCCGTGTTGAGGAGCAACCACTGTCTCTCTTTCCAGCTGAGGTAGTCCACCTGCCACTTGGCCTTCGCGCATGCCAGGTTCAGATGCTCCTGGGTCAGGGACATCAGGAACTCGTACACCAAAGGATTCGTCTTCAGCAGGTCATCAGGCCATTCGTTCCACAAATCCCACTGCTTCGGCAGGAGGTCTGCGTCTTCGAAGGTTGGCATCGTCCGGTCAGGGGGCGGAAGGATCCTGGTGGGCATATCTGTGTTGAGGCGCATCGCGGCAGATCCAAAGCGCGGGATCTCGGTGGTCCACCACTCTTCGGTGAAGAAGCGGAGTACCTGGGCTACTGATATGAATGTCGCGTACTGGTTCGAGACGAGAATCGGGGTTTTGAGGATCGCGTCGCTGGGGTCTTTGCGGGTTTCGTCGTCGCCGGGAGGGTCTTGGTGCAACGCCCGCGGCCAGCGGTACAAAGTGAGGCCGCAGGCTGTAGGGTACAGATGTTTGGGGTGGACATGTGAACTCCGGCCGATCAAAGGCCAGGCAGTACCTCCATAGAGCTTCAAGGTTGTTAACAAAACTGTGGAAGGAATCGCTAGGGAGGCGTCTTACGTGATTCTCCAACGAGAAGCCCACTTCGCATCTCTGCTCTTGCTCAAAGAACGGCTCCGGGGTTCTTTGATGAGCGAAAAGAAGTTTTCCTATGGAGGCAATCGAATTTTCTACGGCAGGATGGCCAGATATAATCGGCAGGGTGGAGGGCCCGGGCGAGTGCATCCAGTTCCTGTGGGCGTAGGTGACAGCGTGCTGTGACGTGTTAGCTAGCCGCAACATAACGAGGCTTCCTGCGAGACTTACCGCCACCTCATGAATCAAGGTAGTCGCAACACGAAAGGAAAACACAAGTCGTTCATCCGTAGTGTACCCCTGCACAAGCAGCGGATAAATGTCATCGGCTCCGAGACACGTACGAATCGTCCCATCGTCTTCGGCAAACGTGATGCCGTTCAGGGGCTGCCCTTCTGCTTCGTTCTCCGTGTGGAATGTGCTTGTGATGTTCAACACCAGCCAGTCGTTGAGGACGTTCGCGGTGGTTTCGATGGGATCCAGGAGCTGGTAGTACTCTGGCGGGATGAAGGGCTGGCCGCCGGGGGGCAGGGGGTCAGGGTTCTTGGAGAAAGTAAACATCGGCCACCGATCTCTCTGATCTTGCGGCCGATCGTCGCGTGATTCTGGAACAGGCATTCTGTTCCAGACATCGCAAAGCGCTTTCCAAAACGGATCGTGTCCTTCGAGGTAGAACAGCATTCGAGACGCCAGTACCAAGGCGGGCTGAAGACATTCCCATACATAATCATCGCTCTGTTCGCATTTGTTCGTTAGCAAGTATTCCTCAAGCAGCCAAGCTGCGAAAAGCAATTGACCTACGCCAGGATCTAGCTCGCCCTTATGATTTCCAACTTGATAAACTAGTCTGGGGGTGTTCTCGCTATCACCGCGCCAAAGAGGCGATTCCCATCTATCCCTACGAAAAAGTCTATCAAGGAGTCAGTTGCACTTATCTTCCGAACATGGGCTGTGACTTCACACCTATGCACGGGGCTCTTCAGCGTGATGCGGGAGTCGTTTCCGAACGATAAGACGCCATGGTCCAATAGCTGAGGTTTTGTTAGCGCTGCTGTTGCCATCCGACGGATATGGTCTCACTTCGTTGGTAGTAGCTCCCAGAAAGAGAATCCTTTGCCAGTCCTCATCCTCTTGCATGCTCGTCATGGCATTGAGGACGAAGGCACTCTGTTCCGAAAGTCTGCCTTTGCCGCTGGGATCCAGACTTGCGTATCTTTGCAAAAGCGCTTCGACGCTGTCATCGCCCCAATTCTTGGCGAGCTCCTCAGCCTCCCTGGCAACGTCCGCGCCACAGATCTTGTTAGCGGTGCCATTGACAGCAAACTGTCGAAATGTGCTTCTCGTCGGCGTCATCCTAGACCGGCCGTCCTGACGCATGGGGAATATGCCGAACCGCAACGCCATAGCCGTGGGCTTCCGGATCTGATCTTCGGGGCGCTGCGCGGGACGCAGGTACCGCAGCAGGTCCTTAGGACGAACAATGCGCTTGTTGGGGTCCTCCTCATCGATCTCGAGCTGGGGGTCTACCCACAACGGGTCGTTCCATTCCGGGACGAACTCGATGTAATTCCAGCGACCTGCGTATGCCCCCTTGGGCGGAGGTTTGGGCATGCTCACGCCCGCGAGGACGGCGTGTGGACGGCCATTCTTCTGGCGGGCGATGTACAGTGCGCTCTCGTCCTTGCCTCGCTTCGCATTCCCGATGTTCGCCTCCACGACCTCGGGGTCGGGGTGCTCGCGGGTATTCCGTATGTACCAGTCTTCATCGTAGACGTTGACTGTCTTCGGGCTTGGTGCGGCGCTGTTGTAAGAATCTGAGTCGTCGAATTTGACCGTTCTGAGACTTGACGCCGAGCTGGCAGGTGAATATTGCTCGGTGTCCTGGCATTGCATTTTGCGTCGGTTGGATAGCAGGCGGAATTGACATGAGAGTTCATGAAGATCATGTGCTTGAAGATCATGGCAGTCTGCTTTCCGACAACATTGCAGCTTCTTTCTGGGTCCTGGCTGTAGTTATTTGCCTGTTGATAATGTAAATAGGAACATCAATGAAGGGCACAAGGGAGTCGAGTGCTCCTTTGAGATGAAGAATGGTGGCTATTACATTGTTTCTAGCGACTCTAAATTTGATGAAAGAAAGCATCCTGACATTGTAGACATTTCATAACGGATTTGGGAGGTTGCCATCAGCAGTGAGAGCAAGACATCGCCATAGCTGGCTGTTGATCATCGGGAGGGCATGCCAGGTTGGGGGCAGGATTTGAAGAGTTCAACAGCCAAAACAAGCCATCACTAGTGACTAGTGATGTGTATGCTTGAAAGATGCGAAGCTCGCAGTCACGAATACGCAGGAACTTGACAACAGGTGTTAGTCTGAAGCTGTGGGGGAATAAAAGACGCTGGCGAGAGCACTGGCTCTTTGCCTGTCAGTAAATCCTCATGCAAGGGATTGCTGGAGTGCGTGCACCCTGCTATGTCATACAGGAAACCAAGAAACAAAAGCGACCGTGGTCCCACAAACAATCGCGAGTCGCCGGTTCCGTCGATCCCTTGAATGACGTTGAAAGAGATGGAAAATATCGTGGAAATCAAGCACTCCACCTCGGGAGGTGCATGGCTCCGCCGCGAGTCAGGTATCGGGATGGCCGCAACTACTAAGACCCAGGAATTCCTGCATTGAAAAACGGCTTCTCAAGGCCTGGTGTCGGTCATGGAATGGTTCGCGCAAGAGTCAAAAAGTAGATAGTAGTAGCGGATGAAGATGCCATTTAGAAACGCTGGACTGGCGGGGGACGCATGAGGCTGATATGCTGGCGGGAGATCGCTGGTCCTGTCTCGTATTCGAGGATTGAGATCGCCATATTTGGTGGTGGACCCATAACGCTCGCTTGCTACCGAGAGATTAGCCCAAGACAAAACAATATATCTCCGATCGTCTGTTCCAGCAAACACCCACAATACCGCATGACAGGTGTAGGGAGGGAGACTAAGGCCATCGCGCGACGGGTATATATGGACGACAGCGACGGACGACAGCAATGGGCGACAGGGGCCGGGACGACACAACACCCGCTCTTACCCAATTCACTCTTTAAAGCGGGTCGTAGTTGTCGAAGATGGTTCCTTCGATATTGATGCTGCTTCCGGCTGTGGCACTTGTTGCTGCAGACTGCGCTGCTGACAACTGTATTCGAGCTCTCGTCGCGACCCAGACCCCCGGACGCCTTAGTCCAGCCCAATCATTTTGCACGACTTTCATTGCCCAGTCGGTGGCCAGTACCGACATCCCTTCTTTTGCTTCTCACTGCTTTGGTGACTCGCTCGACGCCGGCGCCTTCTCGACTCGGCTGTCGAGTGCCTGCTCTTGCATCGGAACAAGGGTGCCCACGGTCGTTCCAACTTCCACTGCAGCAGGCCCGCCGCCAGTCACTTCGACCACCACGACCCAGTCTCAGTCAAACCAGACGGCCTCGGCGTCTTTCACAACGCTCATCAAGCCGTCAACCACGCCTCCATCCGATTCGCCGACTCCAACAGAGCCATGCGAAGTGGTAAGCCGCAGCTGGGCATCAGCGTTCCGAGGTAGGCAATTCGTGTGTATCCCGCCATGAGTCTGGTTTGCCGGGCAGTGTCAATTGGCTAGCCGTCGTCGTCCATCGTCGTTGTCGTCTATCGTCGTCATGGTCTATGTCGTCGTCGTGGTCTACCGTCGTCTTCGTCTATCGTCGTCTTCGTCTATCATCGTCATAGTCTATATCTTCGTGGTCTATGTCGTCGTCCATCATCGTCTTCGTCCATCGTCGCTATCTAATATCATTATCCTCATCGCTGCCCCTATCGTTTTCTCTACTACCATCGTCCTCGTAGAAGTATAAGGTACAACAGATGGTAATAATAGACAACGACGATAGACGGCAATGATGAACGGCGACGATAGACGACGACGACATAGACGACGACGATGGACGACGGCGGTGGACGACGACGGCTAGCCAATTGACACTGCCTGACTTCCTCGCCATATTGAATTCGAGGCTGACAAAAACTCTTTATAGGCGCATCTCCCACTGTACCAGCCAAAGTCGCGTACGACTGCCTCAAGTCGGTACCTCTGCACAAGGATGCTGCCATCGAGCTAGTTGATTCAATCCGACCGTATCTCGAGTGGCAGTCGGACCTGGCGTTCCTCAAAAGCCCGCCTGCGGACTATGAGCCTGGCCCTTTCGATGTCGTCAGTCACCTGGAGACAGTGCGCGCGAACCTTGAGGCCGACAAATACGACGGCGAGCTAGCCTTCCAGGAAGACCTCTTCGTTTTGACAGCGAAGGCTCGTGACGGGCATTTCCAGTTCATGCCTGATGCTTTGACAGGCGTCTTCGAGTATGTACGTCCGTTCGGGTTGGTGTCTTACAGTAAGGACCCGACATCGCTTCCGGTCATCAAGAAATGGGAAGAGGTCGGCGCGAAGCGAGACGAGGCCAGGATTCTGACGCGGCTGAACGGAGTCAATTCGTCGGAATACGTTCAGAGCATCGTCGAGACGGTTGCCGGAAACCAGGATCTGGATGCCGCATACAACGCCATGTTCTTTTCCAGAGCCAAGATCAACGCCGGGAGCACATCGGGCTTGTTCAGAATTGGCGGTTGGCACAAGTACCTGTACCCTGGCGAGAACACGACGGCAGAGTTCGCAACAGGGGAGACGGAGTCCGCCGCCAATATTGCTGTTGTCAAAGCCAGCTTTGCAGGCGTGACGGATGGAGAGTCGTTTTACCAAAAGTTCTGCGCTGGCAACTCATCTTCGCTGGGTACAGCAGCCTCGCAAGCCTCAACGACGGAGAATGACCAGCTCGAAGCAGCCCTATCTCCAGTGGTAAGCACCAATGATGGAAAGGTCTCAGGCTTCTACTTGGACGCCGGTGACCTTGAAGATGTGGCAGTGCTGTCCATCCCCGGCTTTGACCCCGGCAGTCCAAGGACATTCCAGAAAGCCGTTGAGGAGTTCCTCCAGGCATGCCGGACTGATGGCAAGTCCCGTATCATTATCGACTTGCAGATGAACCCGGGTGGATATGTTTTGTCAGGAATTGATCTGTTTCGCCAATTCTTTCCAAAGATTGAGCAAGGGGGTTTCAGCCGGTGGAGAGAAAACGAGCAGTTCATGGCGATGGCCAATATTGTGTCTGAAGCCGCCGGAAAGATCGACCCCGCAACGTCGCCGAGTGAGGAGGCTGTGAGCTGGGCTCAAAGCTGGTGGAACTACCGCTTCGACCTCAACGTGTCTGGGGAGCATTTCACGTCCTTCGACGCCAAATTCGCCCCCAACATGTGGGCTGGCGACCCGTACACAGCCGTCGTCCGTTCGGATCTGAGTAATAACCTGACAACGGCAAACGAAACGTTCGGGATCGGCATCGAGGTAACGGGGTACGGAAACCGTCGGAACTTTACTCAGCCCTTTAAAGCCGAGAATATTATTCTGCTGACGGATGGGTACTGCGCCTCGACTTGCTCCCTGTTCGCATCAGAGATGAAAAAAGTGGGCGTCAAGAGCGTCGTAGTTGGCGGCAGACCTGAGAAGAAGCCAATGCAAGCAGTAGGCGGTGTGAAGGGCGCCCAGGTTTTGCGGTACAGCGATATCTTCAACCTGACCCAGGAAGCTCTCGCGTCTGACTTGGTAGAGGTTTCTGCCGAGCAAAGGGCGTTGTTGCAACGGTTGACGGACCTACCAATGCGACGCAGCACAGAAGCTCGCCTGAATGTGCGGGACCAGATCTTGGCTGATAACCTGGAGGATGGTGTTCCAGCCCAGTTTGTCAACGAGCCTGCCGACTGTCGTCTCTTCTGGACCTTGGACATGATGGCCGATGTGTCGGAAGTTTGGAAAGCTGCGGCTAATGCCGCCTGGAGTGGTGCTGGCTGCGCGTCTGGAGGGTTTGACAAGGGTGCCATCACATCGACATCGAAGCCGACGATGATGAAGGCGACTGCTGCAAGGCCCCTGCGTGATTCCACCGTGGTCTCGGATGCGGAGCCGGGACATCATGTATCGGAGATGACACTCGATAAGCATAACCAGAGGGTCCACATCGTGTGAGAACGAGTAGCTTCCTCAAACCCTCAAACATATAGCTTATTTCCTATATAATCAATAGTAGCAGCAATACCATTGACTTTTAGAAGCTGCGCAGTGTCAGCCAGCTACAGTTAGCGACCCAGGCAGTCTTCTAGCACGCCAAATACTATTTCATAAGGACATTGATAACGGAGAAAACAATGAAGGCAGTGATAATAATAATGGCGAAGGACGACGACGATGGTGGACGACGGTGGACGAAGATGACGATAGACGACGATAGACGACGAAGACAATAGATGACGAAGACAACAGACGACAATAGACGACGAAGACGACGATAGACGACGAAGACAATAGATGACGGAGACGATGAAGACGATGAAGATAATAAAGATGATAGAGACGACGAAGACGGCGACGACGGCGATGACGATAATAATGATATTGATGATAAAAATGATATTGATAATAATAATCTTTTTGATGATAATAATGATAACGACGATGAGAGCGAGTACACAGGATACGTAGTCGCTTGAGAGGATGTACGTGTGTAGACACTGCCCGGGTAGCTAACTGGCACCGCCTGGCTAGCAGAACTCTTACCATTAATACCCCATCGTAGTTGTCATTGAAGGTCGTGATCATGTTCGAGAGGCGCATGCGTATCTTCCATGCAGTTGACAGTACAGACCAGACAGGACAGGTTCATCGCCGTTGACGCCGGTGTCGACGTTCAAGGATATCCCCGGGCGTGGCCTCCAACTCCTGCCAATGCCGCCCGGCGCATTCTCGCAGACAATTCGGACCCAAAAGTGTAAATCTTATTCCACCGGTTCGTGACGACGGGAGTAAGGTAGGTAGGTTTGTTGAGGCAGCAGGCAGGGGGGTGTCGAGCAACTGCGGTTCCGAAGTATCAGTACGAGGAGCTGACGTGGTGTACGGGCAACGGGCAACGGGCTGACTCTTGCCTGCAGGTGTTCGGGAGTCACGTCTGGTCGGTGACGGAATGTATGGGAAGGTTGCGCGTACGGATAGGCCCGCGGCGGGTTGACGTCAAGCCATTCGGGATGGGTGTGATGAATTCGATGCTCGGGATGGTGTCATATTGGCGGGTTGGAGGCCGCGGTTTCTGGATTGCCAGGCCTTGCGAGGCTGGACATCGGTCCCATTGGAAGGCGGTCTGGTATGCTTCGGCCGCGTCTTTGGGAGGCTTCGGTCGCGGGACAGTGGCTTGCGGACGTATCGACTGGATCACGAAGGGTGGACGGCGCGGAAGCTTCGAATAGGGGGTTTTCGTCGGATGGGCAATGTTTCTGTACGGTAGAATATGATCTTTTCAAGGATACGAGGAGGCATTCAAGACCAGCAGCGCGAAGCTCTCAATTCGATCTGAATGGCCTCAAAAACGGCAGCAGCAGCAAGCGCATCACGTCACAGAGCTCAGGAACGGAGAGGAGCCAATCGGAGGTTGACCGTTGCTGAGTAATACCCGAGCTAACGCCGACGCCAATGGAGGGGCAAGAAATCAGCATTTGTCTTTTCTGGCGGCCACCTGAGGCAGAAAAGAGATGACAGGGGGAGGCAATTGGAAAGAAAAAAAAATTGCAGATCGGGAGGAAGCAAGCATTTTTGACATGTGCTTCGAGGCTTTTCGCCCAGCCCAGGAATCTTCAGGCTTCAAAATGTGAAGAGTCTACGGGCTGCGTTCAAATCATCACGAACCCAATTTACCCCTCCATCCTCATGCCAGACATCAAGGCGGTCAGAAAGACGGGAGGGCGTGCGGCCCTTGCTTGCGACCTCGTTGCCAGGCTAAGAAATGACGGACCTTGAGAATCAGAGCGCGAAGAAAAAATTCTACGGGGCCCCACGATTTTGTGGAGTAGGTGCCCGCCGGGCAGCTTGTGTGTTTTGGCGTTATCGTGGAGCAGCCAAGCGAACGCACGGCAGAAAAAAATAGATCGCTGGCTTATCGATACGTTCAGGCCATCTGTTGACGATAGATGGCGGGGTTCGATAAGCGGCCGGGCGGGCTGAACGGTAATATCGACGACATGCCGTTGAGAGTACGCGTGTGTAGAGAGATTCTGGGGAACGAGGCGGCTGGGGCTATGCTCCTGCTTGATGCGGTCAAGAAGCCGCCCTGCAGATGAGGGTTACATGCAGCGTACAGGTTACAGGTTACAGGTTACAGGTTACAGATTGCAGCCTTTGTGCGGTTGCTGTGAATAGAAAGGCGGTGACAGCGGGGTTGTTGGCAGGACTGGTGATGGCCGCCTCTGATGCTTGAGGGCCATACAGCGTGGAAGCCGCTGTCGACACCAGAGGTTGACTGCGAACCATTAGAATTCTGCAACATTGTCGATCAGGTCGGCCTCGAGAGGCCTGGCTCTTGTCTGACGGCTTTGCCTCGTAGCCTGGGCCAGTCTTGTCGCATCTGCGTCAGCCTTCCCACCAATCCGCACTCCCGCTGGCCCAGGCTAGGGTGGACTTGCGGCGGCGGAACAAAGGCCCAGATGGCAACTCGGACGGCGTGCTGGGTTTGAATGAATCAAGTCGAATCGGGCAGGCCGTGGCAAAAAGGGACGATCCGAGTGGTCCGGAACGCCAGAGAAGCCCAGAACCGGCCGAGCGACAATGTCAGGGGGGACGGATTGGACAGAAAACGAGGATGAAAGATAGTTGGGACGACGGGAAACAAGCCGATTTCGCCTTCTTCTTGTTTTTTTCACATGGGCGTAGGTACGGAACCTTCGAAGAGACAGGAAACTCTCAGACGCAGGACATGTAACAGGCTGCCAAAAAAGAATTTTTGGACAGGAGGTATTCAGGGACGTTGGGCCCCCCCCCCCCCCCCCCCC